CTGCCGCACATGGGAACCAGCGTGCGCTGAAATGCCCCCGGGGACAAGCTGGTGAGCCGACTCTGCTACAGGGCGAAGAGAGCCAGGAACCACATGAAGTAACTCCCTGAGCATTCCCTTGGTTTTCAGGGAGAAAAAAACCCAAATCACACACATTTATGAAATAAAAGCCGAGCTGAGAAGGCCAAGGGCTGGCTCGCTGCTAGAATATGTGCATGGAAAGTGCTGGTTCGAATTAGCAGGACAGATTCGCAGGGACCAGGCTGGTGACTCAGGCCACAGGGAGCTGCGAGAACACGGCTGCTCTCGCTGAAGCTCTCTTTCCCCACCAGGGTCTTTAAGCTGTAAACCACAACGGCTTATCATCGACGTGGGGAGTCACCCTGCCTACGCGACAACCACAGCAACGTCAGGGGCTTGGTGGCACCGTCCCCGGCCTCTCCTCCCCCGTCCCAGCCAGGCCACTTGTAACGCAGAGGGTGGCACACGCCTGCAGCACAGCCCAAACACGGAGCTCGCCTCCCTCTGCCTGCAGAACGGAACCAGTCTGCACCCGCGCCCGAGGCACCAGGCGTTCTGTAACCAGGGCGGTCACCACCCCGGTTCCTCTCAGCCCAAGGACAGCGCAGAAGGAAAGAAAGGTTTGATTTTCCCCAACTGATGGCCTGCCTGTCGCCAGAGTCCTCAGCGTCCAGTATATACCGCTCCCACGGCACCTTCTGACTCATCACTTACTCATATCTGGGAGAGAAACTCATTTCCTGCCCTTGGCTCCACAGAAGACGACAGAGCTCAGAAGGGAGAGCAGGGAAAGGCACAGCCCACCCCACACACATACACTCAGCCTTGGCTGAAGTTCCCTGGCTGTATCCTGGTGCTCCCGGGTATTTTCCTAGGAATAAATCTCACGCCGTGTCAGAGACGTACCCCCGCAGAAGCAGACTATGGAGCAAAGAACGGGAAGCCCCACTACGTTCAGCCTTCCTTCTCTCTGCGCTGGCCGTTTCAAGAACTACTCACTTCTTTTGACCCCAAAGGAGGATTTTGGTAGCAGAAGAATACAACTTCGGTGTCTCAGAAACAGCCAGAGCCAGGATACAGGGATAAACATACAACTCAACACTCCGTTTTGCCCACCGGCCAAGTAAAGGCGGCTACTGCGCTGCTAAAGAGCCAACCTCGGTCTTGGAGAACATCTCCCATGTGGAATACATTCTCTAACTTTCCCTCCAACCAAAAAGCCCTTTAAAGCCGGGAGATCCAATTCTTCTCTGTGAAACTTAAGAACAGTGAGTCATCCATAAGGATCCTGCAGCCCTAGCTTTGAAACCAGCCTAATGATCTGTTTATGTTGCTGGAAACTACAGCAATGCAACGTGTCCTACATTAATCGAACAATTACGAAAACCTCTAGTGATTTAGTTGAACAGGGACAGTGTCTACCAGTTATGCCGTGTGCTCCCTTTCCTTTTGTCTTTGGAACGTCTCAGGAAACTGAAGAACAGGCTGTGGCTTCGTTCTCTGCACTACACCAGGGCATTACGCCGTTAAAGTTCTAGAAAATTGGATTTAAAGCACCTTTGGAAAACAGCGAAGGAGCAAACGGTCTTGGCAACACAACGGGAAAAAAACAGACTAGGGCAGCGATTAGAAAGATGGTCCAGCACAAGTCAAAATGGGGAATTACAGGGATGTAACCGCAGCAAGGGCAAACATTTTCTTCAGCCAAGACTGCTGTGAGCAACAGCGACAATCAGAGTCTTTGGAGCCTGCGCATCAAAGCCTCGGGAGCCCAATTTTAAACTGGAACTTGCTGTGATGAGCAACAGGATTAAGCTGAACCAGAATAAGCCCGTCCATACCGGGGTTCGTACAGTAACCGCACTGCTCAAACCTGTCCAGGGAACTCGGGGACAGCTGGCACTCAAGGCTGTCCTTCCTACGGGAAACACCCCTCTGCTGCCTCTGCGAGGCCGCGGGCCTAGGATCAGCACTGGGATTCAGTCACACCCCGCTAGGTTCTCTCAGTCCCTTCGCGACAGAAAAACGACGGGCGGAAGAACAGCCTCACAAAAGGATAAAGACCACAAAAGGTGACGAGAACAGCTCCCAGCCGGGGAGGGCGCGCACCCAGCCTTGCCCCGCACAGCCCCGCAGCGGGGCAGCGCCGCCCACCGAGACTTATCCAAGCCTTCTTTGCGCGGTGCCAATTAATTGCGAACACGCCAGGAGTCCAAAGCAGCGAGGAGAAGCATCAGCTGCTCAAAAGGGCTCTGGGCAAGAGGAGACAGGAATGCACGCGGCAGCACAGCCACACCACGATCCCAGAGCCTTCCGACAACTCTATCCCGAAGGGAAACCTCCCGCAGAACGAAGCGTGTTGCTCCAAACCGGCGACAAACCCAGCAGGCACCGAGCACAGGCTGCCCCAGCGCAGGCTTCTGCAAGCGCGCGGCCTCCGAACGCGGCACGTGCCGCCTCCGTCCCCGGCGAACGCGTTTGGCCAACGCGGCCCTTACCGTAGTTTCTGGATGTTGGAGGCGATCCCCGAGAGCCGGTAGATCCCATCCACGATGCCGTGCTTCTCGATGAATTCAGTGCAGCTCTTGAGGACCTGGGGGACTAAAGAACAAGCGGTGCTGGTGAGTCGAGCCTGTTTAAATAAAGTCCCAGTTCAGGCTGTGGTCCTGTCAGACGTCATAAACCGAGCCCGGCTGGGATACTTACTGCTTTAGTTCCTCCTTAGAGGGGAAAGCCTGCAAGAGATTTAACTTTAGGAGTCGGCGTGGAAACCGGTCAGAGGTGTTCTTTGCTTTAAAGAAATGCCAGGATATGAATCAGGTTGAAAAAAGTCAATTCTGGTCAAGCAGAGACAGTGCAGGTCCCATCACAACTCCCCCAAGAACTGGGGTGTTAAATTCCATTACTGAAGAGCTAGAAAACGGGAGTAAATACACCCTCTTCGGCCAAAGACTTCCTTTGTTTTCCAGTCTATACAGGACTGACCTATACTGCTTGGGGTTTAAGCAAATACAAACATTAAGGAGATGCTACTTTCTGCGCCAGGGCCAGGAGAGTTTTTACACCCGATAACTTCACCCCCAATGCCTACCGGAGCGTGACTGGCTTTAGAGAGCTACGCAGCATACCACGCTCGCAGAAACTGCAGACAGACCGGGGCATGACAGAATGGAAAAAAATAAGCCTGGAGGGTGTAATTAGGTGTCAAGTTAATATTCAAGCCGCTTCGCCAACCGATTCCTTCCAGCTGACTTCTCAGCCTCACGCAGCATCCACTGCTGGAGCTATCTGTCCACCCTTCCAAGCTTAAGGAGGAGCAAATTACTTTATTTATAAAAGGGAAATAAAACTGCCCTAACACAGGAAGCAAGTGAGGACTGAGCTCTTGTGGAAAAAGCCGAGATCCTCGCGGACTCCCCTGCAAGCCACCTTTTTGCTACAGCTCCTATGACGATCTAGATTTATTCTTTCACATTAAATGCCAGGTCTGATCAATTTGCCACGTGACACAGATTCCGAATAGGTCACGTGGCAAATCCCCTTATATCAAGCAGCAAATACCATCTGCCAGTCAGGTCTCCTAAGTGCTACTGAACTTAGATGCTCTGTGCTTTCCCCTCCCCAGCCGCTTCACGGCTGTTTTCCCAGCTCGCAGCAAACACTCGCACGACTACAGGAAAGACGCGTTTTACGAGGTTCCCTGGAAATCAGCAGGTGCACCCCGGGCCAGGGGCACATCTGCTCCGCGCCGCAGCACAGGACAGAACAAACCCGACCAAGCCGCGTGGTGCGCCCCTCACGCAGGCTCAGTGATGGCTGACGGGGCCCTGGACACCCCAAGAACCAGTCAAACTGCCATCAGTCCGGCTCTGGGACTGTGCCATTAGGCACTTACAGCGTCTCTCCCTGTTTTCCAGAGTGAGGCGCAGGCTTTGGGGCATGCGGAGCCCTCGCACACGAAGCAACGGCACAGAAAGAGCCTTGGGAAACCAAGCGCTGCTTTTTGGGGGAAGGAGAACCCGCGGAGGTGACCACCTTCTGCTCTCCCCTTGTAGGGACAATGGGAACTTCAACTGCCACCAACGGGGCCAGAAGACATCTGCAGGAGGAAACCTCAGCACCCGCTCTGAAGCTAAAGGTGCCCCTCGCAGCCTTGGGAGCTTGGAGCAACATTAGGAACCAACCAGACACACGCTGAGGCATCTGAGCCAGGACAAGCAACAAGGACTCGCCGCCGCGTGAACAGACCATTGGAGAGGGCGTTGGTAAAACGTGTGGTCGTCCCCAGCGCCGTAAACGACACGTCTGACACCAGAGCAGGTGGCCCCCCGTTCTAATAGTGTTTCAAAAACCGTTTTGGGAGGACAAGACTTACCCCTTTACGCCAACGGGATTCCACACCTCTCGAAGAAGGAAGCTTTTAAGGCTTTAAGTGGACAGGGAAGGAGTTGTACCATACTCAAGCAGCTGCCAAAAAGGGTTCACCGAGAACCAAGCGCGACTATGTGAGATGTCCACAGGCGTGTCCCTCCCCACCGCCACCCAAGACAGAAAGGTGAGAGGCCACAAACCTCATCAGGGAACCGAGCGAGGATGCCGGGCTCCGCGCTGCGTCAGCGGCGTTTCTGTCTGCCAGCTGCCCAACTACAAGAGCCGCGCAGGGTTGGGTAAAGGAGTTTAACCCAAGTTTTTAAGTGTCGTGGCAAGATCTTTTAATGCTTAGCTCCAAAATCCCCAAGACTTTAATGGTCTGTACCGGCACCTCAGTAGGGGTCCCCTTCAAACGAGTAGCACCCGTTGAAATAAATAAACCGGCAAATAAATAACTAGGACATTCCCTAATTCCTCCCAGGGAGGCTGACACAGCCAGCTCTGCTGTTTATCTGCACGCCACGAACACGGCCGACACCCGCCCGCGCTTCCTAACTGAAGGCCTATGCCACGGGGAGCGAGCTCTGCGTGTTCCCGAGGCCTCCTCCCTCTGGGGTTCAGCGAGCTGGGTAAACAAACAGCTCGGCGAGAGCGGCATTTACTGGTTCAGCAACCTGTTGTGACAAGGGGAATCGGGTCCGGGGAAAACAGAGGGAAGGTGAGGGAGGCAGCACCAACAGTGCGCTTCCCAAAGTGGGACTTTGTCACGGAAGATCCTGGGTTACAATAATTAATATACACTGAAAAAATTCCAGCAGGTTTGTTCTACGCATTTCCTAATCTGGTTACCGGGACGATCTGTTCTTTAAGCTAAATATATCACGCCAGCACCACAGATATTTTGGGGGAAATCTGCACGGTTGGAGAAGTGACTGAAATTCAAGTAGGGCTATAATTATACTTGAAGGCCCTTTGCCGGAACGGCGACTTGATTTTTCAGCAGAGATGACACCTGGCAGTTACACACGCATTTAACCTCCCCCTCCCCTTCAGCTACACGCACACTTACACGTAGGTGCATACACACACGCAGGGAGGGACGTGCGCCTACGGCCACCAGAGTGAAACGGCGGCACACGCCAAGGCTTAATTGTGCCAGCGTGAAGTGCGCCAAGACCAACCCCGACGGTGGCTTCTGACACCGCGTCGTGACCTTTTCAGGTACCTACCTCTAGCTCTGCCAGCCGCTCCGGGAGAGGCGCGAGGAGGGGACGAGCGCAGGGACACACACGCCGCGTTCCTCCAGCCCCACCGATCCCCTGTGCCCAGAACCTGTGCTTATTAAGCCCAGCACAGAGCCCCCGCCAGCTCCACGTTCCCAGGCAAGGGGACGAACGCTCACTGCTGCTTTGATGCCTTTTCTGAGCCACGCCGCCTTCAGCCACGGACTCCAGGTGATCCCTGCGCCACCCACCGCTGGCGGGTGCTACGTGTGATCACCCACCTCTTTTCAGGAATCCTGTCTCCCATTCCAAAATCAATTCCCTCCCCTCGTCCCCTGTCTCCAGTAACAGGTAGTTCCAGGCTACCAAGGGCAAACGGTGGAAGTGTGGGCGCATCCACAAAGGAGACCCGAGCGTACCTCATCGCCCTCGCAGCTAAAGGAATTTATTCCGCTCATTCCTGAGCATCTCTCAGCTGCTTGGCAAGGTTTATTGCATCCCCTAGGGCTCGTTAGCCGGTTAATTCCTCGCCATTAAGAGGGCGCAGAAGTTTTATGGCTTTCATTCCCAAGAATGTTTTGATTGATCTTGAAATCAGGCACCTTTCCTTTCCTATCATCTTGGGTTTGGTTTGTGGGTTTTTTTCCTTTTTAATCTTTCATAAGGTACAACACAAACGGTGTGAACTTTTTTTCTTTCCTGAGGTGTGGTGATCACCTGAGACTCTGACAAACTTCTGGCCATCTGAAATTAGCCAAATAAATCCTGTCTCCCTTGCCGTATTAACACGCGGTTACCTAAAAACCTAACAATGAATATCCTCACCCAAAGCAATACAGTTGCTTTTACCCCAATCATTTTTCCTATTTTTAGCTCAATTTTGCAAAAACCTGTCCAAATATTTCCTAAAAAAAAACCCAAAACATTAAAAAACCCCGCATAATAATTCAGACTAACTTTTCCCAGGAACTTCATCATTTCAAACTACTCATTTCTGAAACTCTTTTACAGTAAAAGTTACACAGAAGGAGTGAAGCGGCGCGGGGCAGAGAGGTTAAAGATTTCCCTTTTACGGCCCTGTAAGGGGCTCCCTGCCACCCGGCGAGTCGCCTGCAGGTGCCATTTTAGAAGCACCATCCCCTGCACGGCCAGAAAACCCCCAAAGTTTTAAAGGATGGACTTTCGTCTCACTCCTAAATGCAACTCCTCACGTTTGGATCACCAGGAGTAAGCGAGAAGTAAGTACAAGACCAGCCAAACAGCAAACCTCCCTCAAGCAGCTCTCTTCCAACAAGTGACCCACGTTTAAATTATTTCTGCCGTGGAGCAGTTGCGTAAAGTCCGAGCCTGCTCTCACCAGCCGCGCTGGGTTTATTAGGCAACGTTTTTATGTGAAATGTGACTTTTGCACTTGGGGAAGTGCAATAGTGGGAGAGGGGCCGTAAACCAGGAGCGGGTTCCGAGAGCAGCGCCCGTCTGTGGACTCGGCCGCTCTGCGTTTTTAAGGCTGGGCTGCTTTTTTTTATTTTTTATGGCAACTTACTCAGGCACCGTGTAAAACCAAAGTGCAAAGTTCGAGCCCGAGAAACACAAACCTTGCATCAGGCTGGGAAGGTAGAGAACCGTGTTTTTCAAGCCCCGTGAGATCGGCAACACGCTCGAGGCGGGGGGTACATCTACGCTAGGGCAGTTTTGCGCCTGAGGAGCGCGAGTGGTGCCTCACTGCGCTCGGACCAAAGCTCGGAGCCTCTGTACAGTGCGTCCATCTCCCGCGCTGTAGCTCTCTGGGGCCGGCTTCTTTGATATAAAATACCCACCAACGGAATAAAGATATTACTGATACTCGTATCTGAACCGTGTGCCAGTGTTTTCTGTTTAGATCACTTACCACAGTAAGTTGAGGGGGGGTAAAAAGTACCCACCTCGTCCAGAGCGGAGGGATAAGAGCCCAAGCAATTCCTGTACGGACTGCAACGTTTTTCCTCAGGTTTGTTCCCCCTACAGCTGTAGTGTTTCAAAATGCAAATTAATTTTCAACTCCCTGCTGTCCTCTGGGTCACTCAGGCATAAAGAATTTCTCTTCTCACAGCTGCAGGCCGGGTTAAAAAAGAAGAGGAGAGAGAGAAAACGTCTCTTTTCTTAACTGCAAAAGCTCGCACGCCTGCTCAGCTCTCCCTTTCTGCAAGTACTTCCCCCAAACAAGCAATTCTCCACGGGGACCCCGTGTACCTCTTTGTAATGCTAACCCCGTACCCAATAATCTCGAGTTCCAGCAATTCAGAGGGCAGATGGTGAAGCAATAACAGTGCCTGTTATGTTTGGAAATTTGCCCGAAACAGCTCAAAACTCGTGGCCTTTAGAAGCATCAACTTGTGTTCAACGAGTCCGTGTGGCAGAGGGCGCATCTGCAGGAAGCGGGATATTCCCTGCTCATCTGCGATCTGGGTCAGCTATTGCACTTTTGTCCGGGCTGCTCGATCCGTCTTCTACGTTACAGGGGTTTGCATAACAAATGACACAAACCCAACCCAGGAACAAAATAAATACAGGGGATATAGGTAATATATAATAAATAAAAATAAATAAAAGAATAAATACAGGTACGTTTACTCACTTCCTACAGACCCTCACAGGCTCCTCTGGATCTCGCGGGCCAACCTGCGTTACCGCCCAAATAAATACCATTTAATGTCCACAGCAAGCTCTCAACCTTCCAAGTACTTCACAAGGGTCAGAAACCTACCCTTGGGGCACCCCGGGGGCGGACAGGGACTATTAAGTCTGGCTCTACGAGCGTGGGAGATGGAAGCAGAGACAGCAACAACGTTGTAAGTATTAGTAACTTCCTACTTTGCAGTAAAGGTTGCTTTACTTTGTCATGTCCAGTTTCATTCTCTAGCAGTAAGAGAGAGAGGGGAAACTGGTTGAATTCACCCTCTAAGAGTTAAAACATCACGAGAAACTAAAATTAATAAATATGTAAGACTCAGCTGTCCTGAATTCAAATCAAAGCCTCCTTCAGGGACGGCAGAGAGCCGAAGCCAGCCAGGCAGACTTTTATTATCATGAAAATTATGAGCTAGTAAAAGGGACTCCTCGCATTATACCGGGAACCAAAGAGATGACATATAGATTCCCAAACTTACGCTCGAGCTAAGGGGAACCAGATTTTGACAGATCCCTGCCAAGATGCTGCCCGAGATCTCATCCCTTGTGTTACGCTGTTCAGGGAACAGCGTTCTCCCCACAATAACTCCGCAATAAAGCAGCATCCAAGGCAACTCCATCACCCAGCTGCAGCCAGGGGATGGCCCGAAGGGAAGGACGGCACCGGAGGACCCAGAACAAGCTGTGACGCCACCAGAAATCCCCAGGTGCTGTTAAGGAGCTTAGCTGCAGAGCCTAACAACCAGCGCAAGAGCCTAAAACCATCCCGTGCAAACAGCTCCCCGTATAAAACAGGATCAAGATCCCGCACCCGCTTTCCAATCCAGCGGCCCCTCCGGGCAGCGGGTTTCCCGCTCACCACGCTGCCGCGGACTCCCACGCTCGCCCCACGGTCAGAAGCTGCGGACAGCTCCCGTTCGAGGCGCAAAGGAGGATGCGGTGCAGATGCTGCAATGCAGCATTTAACCAGCTCCCACGCTAAACAAACACACCCTCAGCAAGCACGGCTCTTTCTAATTGGGGTCGAGCTACATTCTCTTTGGTTTCCTTTGAGGGAAAGAAATCGGAGGGGGGGGAAAAAAGCCTCCTCTCTACCTACAAAGGGAACAAGGTCCCTTCACGAGCCGGGGATTATGCTGAATTTGCTGCACCTCACGGCTCCATAAAACAAACCAGCACGGTGGGTGTCAACAGCACCAAACCAACTGGGAACATCTCTCGGGGCGATGAAGAAACAGCTACTCCCTACTTGGTCTGCTTCCAGACGACGCTCATCGGCAGGGGAAGCGTTCGGAACGCCGAAGGAGCCAACAAATCTGATCTCAACAACTCGGGTAACCGAAGAGAAATGCTCGGCTGGCTCAGGAGGGCATCGCCCGGGCTCTGGCTCCGTAGCAGCACGACAGGTCCCGCTCCTGTACCGCTCCCCTCCCGTACACCGCAGGCCAATTTATTCTCCTTTTGAAAGGGGCGCAACGGATGCGGAACGAGAGTGAGGACTCGCTGAGCCCGCGGAAAGGCAACGCGCTGCCGTAGGTACAACACTCCCTCGGTGTTTGGAATTCCCTTCGGGGCACGCAGAGGCACGACAGCAAACCCGCTCCTCTCCTGGCTAAGCCATCTGAGCCAGCTGCCTCACAGAGCGCCCAGTAAAAAACATCAGGCCTATTTCAGGCCAGGTCCCTTCCTTACCCCTTTTATTCTCTCGGTCTGCTCCTCTCTCACCATTTCCTACCCAAAAGACAAAGTTTCAGATGTTCACGACTGCAAAACTGGGAGTGCTTGTGGGGTTTCACAGCGAATTCTTGAGAATTTAGGCTTTGTCAGCTTCCCAAAACCGGTAATTAATAAAATTCTTAACCTAACGCCAGCTTGGTTCAATATGGCCTTTCCAAGGAGCACACGAATGCCTCGCCACTCAGTTCAAACACCGTAGGGTGTCATTTGGTCCTTCAGACTCGCTAAATCTTTTGGGTATTGGACAGCAGCATCAAAACTAGCATTTACCTAAACCAACCTATGAAAGTCTTGGGTTCTCGTTTCTTTCTTTGTTTTTTTTTTTCTGAACGGAGCTGTTTCATGGTTGCAAGCCCAAAGCACTACCAGTAGGTACCATGCACACGCTTCAGCTGCAGTGCTCTGTGCTCCCACAGCAATACCTGTTCACATTCTGGTTGCGAGGTGAAGGAGCAGGACTGCATCTTTGCTCTAACTTTGCTCACCTGAGGGTCTCCTGGGACAGCTCAGCCCCCTTTCAGCAGCTCAGCGCTGCAGTTGGCTCCAAGTTCTGAGGAACGTTAATGCCACAGAATGAGGGGATCTTAAAATGCCGTGCATGCACGGAGCTTGATTCACAGGAACCCAGAAACGTCTCCGCAAAACCAATCCCAGGGAATTACGTCACTTGGAATACAGGGTCAGGGAGCTGAATCACACAGTAAAAACCCAATCCTGCTGTGTGAAAAGGAGACATGCCCCTGTTAGCAACATTCCAATTGGATCTGCTTCCCTCCAGGGAGTTGGGAAAGATTTCTTAAACCAAGGGTAAAGCAACTGGTACGTTCTCAGACGAAGAGACCTCATTAGCACAGCTCAGTCACAGTCACTCTGCGAGGGTAGGGGAGTGTCTAGGACAAGAAGGGAGCTCCCACAGACTGCCAAACAGGAGCCTCCAGTGGAGGCAGAATGGTTTAGTTCAGGCTCAGGAGGTGTCTTTTAATGCTAAATAAAATGCGCACCCCTTAAAGCCAGGGGAAGAAGTCAGCGCAGAGGGCAGGGAAAAGCTTTAATTACTGCTGACTTGTGCCTAACTAAAATGGACAGGAGGAGGGCTGGGGATAAAAGAGAATTCTCTCTTTCCCATTAATGAGCTCACTCTGCTGGCACGTCTCCTGCCCTCCAAGATTGCTCCCACAGCATGAATATAAAACCAGCTCTATAGCTACCCGGCGGTGTAAATTACCTACTCCTGATGCAGTTCTTCCATGGGTTCCTGTCTGTTTCTGTCTCCAAACCATCCAGTTGCTGGCTCTCTGCTGCTTTTCAAGCCCCAGCAACAAAGACCTCTACTGGTTCCAATTAACAAGCCAATGAGCCTTGCCACAGTCCTGATTCCGTAAGAACAAGCTCATATTATTCACCAACCGGTAGTAAAACACTTCATGTCAGGCAAGGGAGCGCACGCTGCTGTTACCAGCTGGATCAGTTGGAAAACATGGACCAAACACCTCCCCACCCCTTTTCCAAAAGGCGCTCGTAGCAACAAGGAGCCCAAAGTACCACTGAAAACAAACCCAACAGAGGAACTCCCGTCCTACCCGACACGGCCCGTCACTTCTCCTCCAGCCCGCACGCCGCAGCCGGGAGACACCGGACGAACAGCTCTGGCATACGAGGTCTGCCGCAGAACCTACCCCGTTGGCAAGGAGCAAAACCACGGGGCAGAGCGATGCTACACCCATCACTAATTTCCTGGTGTCTTCAACTCCTGGGCAAACGGGCTGCAGCCCACGGCTGCTCCACGCTGCTCTTCTAAATAACCCCCAGCACGGGCCACGTACGGGAACGACCTTGGCTAGTGAACTGCAAAAGAATTTGAGTCCTTGGTTTGCTCCTTGGCAATGCAGGTACCTCCCCGACTCCACACCCTGGACTGGAGACGTCCCAGTGAGAGGGTAGGAAAGAGCATGTGAAAGGGGAGTTCAGCCAAGGAAGACCAGGAACGATTGCGTAAGTTTTTTCTTGGAATGCACAGCTCTTCCCTGCTACCTCCCTGAGCTGCTGGTGGGAAGGCGAAAGGGACCAGGAAGAGCTACAGAAAACTTACCGTAACAAACTGAGAGAAAAGCAAGCTGTGACAAAATGTCACATCCAGATAATTCCTGTAAAGGTTGTGAAATCAAGAGAAAAGGCAGATGAAGGATTACATCACAAATTGTGCTAGAATCATACAAAGGTACCGGGTTAGAGAAAGGTATGGGTTTAACATATCAGTTAATTATTCACTGACACCGACACATAAATAAAGTTTATTTCCCTGCAAAAAAAAAACCGTAATATTTATTCGAAGACTTCAAGAAGTTGAGAACTCATCTTCAGCAGTTCCATCCATCTTCAGCGCTCCCACGTTGAACCACGATGCTCCTTATCGGCCTTAGCCTCAATTTATCCCTCAGCCATCGACTTCTGTTACGCGTTTCTCAGCTAGTACCCTTTGCTAGATACAATCACCCCGAAATAAGATTCCCAACAGAGGAAGGACTCAAGAACGGATTGTTTCTTACCGTCATGGCCAGAGTTGAGAAGATGCTCTCCCAGGTCACAGCCGAACACCCGTTCCTTCAGGATCCCCCGCTGTTTCAGTTTCTGTTTCGTTGGGCGCGACTTCATGAATGTACGGAGGAAGGTGATGAGCTTGCCGTGTTTTTTTGACACTGCACAACAAAATTAAAAAAAAAAACCCCACTTAATTTTAGACTTGGCTTCGTCGGGCAAGGCCAAGCATAACACATTCTACGGGGCACATAAGAACCGCAGCAACTTTAATATCAATTATTTACAGAAACAGTTTTTCCAAGGTCTGATACTAAACAGAGACTTGGCTTTTGTTCTAATTCTTGGCTAGGGAAGAAACAACAGGAGACAGCTGTAATGGAAGAATTCCACACAAAGACACATTCATCTGCAAAGCAGCTTCAGCTGGGAGCGCGCTACGGGCCTGTCACGGGTACTGGCTGATGGGCGGCACCTCAGAGCGACAAGTTTCAGCTCTGGAGGAACTAACGAAGCAAACAGTCTTGTGTGCTCCAGGTACAGCATCTACAAGCAGCCATAAAGGCTTTGTAACCGGCTCTCATTCTGGTAGTCACCTCTAGAACAAAGGAATGACTAACAGTGTCTGAACGCGGAGGACGCGCAGCTCCAGGTGCCGCCGGCTGCCCTTCCAGCACACCTGCAAGTCGAGCCAACCCCGCTGGAGCTGCGGAGGTACAGCCCAGCTCCCTGAGCCTTCTCGAGCTTTTGCAAGATAAAAAACACGCCTGACTTGGGTTTATTGAAGAGAAAAACTAAGGCAGCTGATTTGAAGGGGTGCGGTTTATCCCTTCCAGAATAAACACAAGAAGCCTACAAAGAGGACGTAGCTCGGGGGCCATCCCTCCACACCTCCCGCGGGTGGAACCGGTCACTCTGTTAAAACCATCCAGTCCCACTACGGAGCATAATCCACAGCTGAAGGAAATGGAGAGTCACGCAGGGCAGAAGCGGGTGACACACATACGCTCACGCAAATCGGGCGGAGAGGCTGAGGCAGGTTTCAGTGGGAAGCAGGACAATGCCCTTGAGTGTCAACTTTTCTTCCTGAGGCCCGCTCTGGAAGCGAGAGAGGGCTCCGGCCTCCCCAACAAAAGCGCCATTGTGCCCCGGACTTACAAGGCAGTTGAACTTCACCAGAAGAGCTCTGCCGAAAAGCACACGTCAGTAGGTCTGACAGGCCGTGCTTTGCGGGGAGGCCTCTGCAGCAACAACCAGCCGCCCCTCTCCCTGCTCCTGTCTCGGATGCCAGGGAGGAAAGACAACCGTGTGTTCCACCTGCGTGACACCCCAAAGTACTCTAACCAAATTCCAGCAGAGTAACGCTACTGCAAACAAGACAGAAAAGCAGCGAAGACCCCTGGTGACAAAGGCGCCTCTCTCCAGCGTCCCTACTGCTGGCAGCGTGGGCACCCCGAAACTCTGCGAGCGGCTTGGGAAGTTGGGACTCAGCAAAAGGGAGATTCATGCAGGCAGGCTGGCTACTCTTCAACCAGACAACATGAAAAACCTTGTCTCATAAACAGGGTTACACCACACTACGCTTCACGATGTTTTAATCCTTTTCAACAGCTGAGTATTTTTCCTTCCATTTTACCAGGTACTAACACAGTCCCTCTATTTATAATAAACCTGATTCCAATGACCTTTATGCTTTTCTGTCGATGTGAGCAGAGCAGAGCTCTGCTTTGGGGTGAAAAACCCTTTTAGCAGCATGACACCACACTGACCCGCAGGAGCCAAATACATCCCAACACCCAAAATCCTAAAAGCTCCTACAAAACCCATGTCTGTGTTCTCAACACTGAAACCCGAATCATTTAACAAAACACAGAAGCACCGAGCATGACAAACTGTGGCTACGGGGGCCTTAATTAAAGGAATGTTTTCAGTTTGACGGGGGTTTTTTAATTACACACAATAAACGAACAGATTGCGCTGACATGCTAAACAAAGTTAGGATAGATTTGGTTCTATCTATCATCACAGCAAAGCAACAGCTCATTTATCATCCCCTATCAGCCCTGCTCGAGAATAAATGGAGACGGGGTGTCATCCTGGCTGTTTCAGAGGGTTAGCACCCTCGGGCTCGTGTGCTAATGCTCTGGGAGGCGACAGAGCCGAGACAGACGCTTTTACAACAGTCAAATCAACAGACAAACGAAGCCATTACTAATCGGTAGGTATTCATCTGGATCAGCTCACAGACCGCGCACGGTTCTTCATGAAGTACCCTGCTGCGCTTCGTGAAAAATGAGTCCGTCAGATCATGGATTTAAAGCACCCCTAATTCCAGCACTGCAGAAATTCTACTCATGCTGGTGACCAGTGACTTTTGGGCGTCACCTCCGGCATTAAAAACGGAAAAAGGTGCCATGGATACACTTCCATGATCCAAAGATGTACTTGGCTTGGTAGTGACACCTGTTTACATCCCTAACCAGAAAGGAGACCCGAGTTTTTAAAACACAATATATCTGCTCTGTCTTTAAGCCACTCAGTACAGGTTAAAATAAATGTCTTGCTTTCTGCATCATTAAGTCGACTCCCACAAACACAGCCCCATGGGTACGAGTGCGAGAGCCCAAGAGACTGCCCGGGCAATGCCCGAGCAGGTTCAGTGACCAGGAATTCACTTATCAACCGCCCGGTGAAACATTTGCACGGATCCTTGGGGAAACACAGATCCCTGCCCGCTCTGTACAAGAGCTTCTCAGGCTAAACTGACTTCAGAGTTCTGTGCCCATGCGAGAATGATTCACTGAGCGGAGTTTGGCTTCTCCTGGGTGGGGAAGAAAAACACAACAGCGAGAAAATCCATCTCTTTGCTGACAGGTTGTAAAAGAGAACAGAAAAGCGAGTAGGTGTCTGATAAGGATAAGCTCTCCTTAGAAGCTGTAAGAGCTCAGGAGGCTGTCAGGTATGCTGTCTTTCTGACAGCAGCAAGGGAAGGTGAAATGCTGACTGTCCCGCTTCCCACCCCTCGAGCGTCATTTGACCCTCAAACCAGCGACACAACCTAAGAGAGGTTTAATTTCTGACGCCTTTCGGTTTAGGTGAAGCTACCACAGCAGTCCCGGTTTCTGGATAAGCACCAGTGCCAAGGCCGCCACCAAGAATCCTGCAGAAATAAGGTTTTCTGCTCCAAAATGCTGTCCCGCTGGTGACAGTACCTCGACAGCAAGCGGTGCCCTGCTGCAGCAGCACACCCAGTGGTCCTACACCCGCTTGCTGGTCTCACACGGAAGCTATGGAATCAAGGCACGGGGTTTAGATGATAAACTGTCACAAATGAAGGAGATGTGGATAAAATAATTAGCCCTTTTATACTTTTACTGTCCCACCAGTAAGGCGGGGATACGATAAATCTGAACCATTCTGTTTGCGTCTCCATGTGAGGTGGAGGCACGTTTATCCACGTTACTTTCCACCTCAGATTTAACCGCTATAAAACAGAGAAACAGAGGCTTTCCTAGAAGGAGCAGGAGCTGATTTTCCTCAGAAAGGCAGGTTTGGCTACGTATCCTGGCCGGAACAAGCAAAGACAAATTCTCCATCTAGCATAGTGAGGCTGGCTGAAAAAAAAAAAAAAAACCCCAATCAAAACCCAAATAAAAGAAAACCCCACCTGAGGCTGGACTACTCCTGAACTTTTGCTGGCAGGAATGTGTCAATTAGGAGCGAGAAAAAAATATCACACCCTCAGCTGACGTAACTACGCTGGCCAAAGCCTTCGTACGGTGGGAAGGGAGGGAAGAAAAAGGAATACTTGTGCCAGGTACTTTATTGTGGTTTTGGGAAACCGCCAGAGTCTGTACCTCCCCGAGGAACATTTATCAGTCAAACCACGCCGCCGTTGCTATACCACCAAGCTTTCGTAGCAACAGCAAGGCCCGAAACTCCCCGGTCATCGATAAAAACTATTAAATAATAATTACTTCACTAAAAGCAGGGCTTGCTCACCCC